GACTTTAATAATACTTTAGAACTTGTAAAAACTTGGTAAAATACAAGTCATTAAATAAAATATATTGTAATATAGTCAACTTTTATTATAACGAACTCTATGTCCTAGACCTCAATTTCGCTATAAGGTTATAGTGAAGATTTTAAGAGATTTGATTGGCCAATTCACTATAACATGAGTATTTTTATTATATTTGTTCAAAAAATTTGTTATATCAAGAGTTCGCTATATCAAGAGTTGACTGTATATATAATTTTAATCTTAAAATTTCAGTTCTTGTCTAATTTTTTTAATAGCAAAAATATTTAGATCTTTTTTTATCTAAATATAAAGAAAGAAACAAATGATATATCAATGCAAAAAACTGTATATTGATAGATTAGTTTTTGAAATATTATCAATTTTTTTATTATTTTAAATTAATTTAAATCAAATATTATAAAAAAGATTGATATTTGATTTTATTATTATGTGATATAATGAATATCTATTATACTTTTCTGATTATAATTTTTCAATAAATTTTAAATATAAGTTAATACCATTTGTCTACTTATTAATTAATTTTAATAATATAAATAATTTTTTAAATTCTAATAAAATGTGAATTTTTATTTATTTTAAATACTTTTTAAATATCTCATATGAAATATATGACAAATCTTATGAAAATTACAGAAAAAGAATCTTTTCATGAGTTTACACATTGAAACTGGCAAAAATTGATAAACCTGTCAAATATGACATATATGCCAAATCTGCCAAATCTGCCATATCTGCCATATCTACCAAATAGGATATACATAATATCTATTATATCTCTATTATTTATATTACTATTATCATTTATATTATATCTAATATAATTAGCATATCTGTTAGCTCTGTTATTATTATCAGTAGTATCATATCTACCATAGATTTTCTTAATTGTAATTTTCCTATATAAAGAGCATGAAAATGTCTTGGAAAAAGAATAGATTCTAAACAGATTCCAATAAGTTCTCAATATTGTATTCAATATACATTTAATAATAATAATAAACAATCTTAACATTTTGCAAACATAAAACTTATAATTTATTTCTTGTTAACCAAATAAACTCTCTAATAAATAGCGTATTAAATTGATTAGATTTAAGTAATAGCTATTGCCTCCCTAACTTCAAATCATAGTTAACTTATTTTACGGAAAGAGTAATGTTAACAATATTATGAAAATTCAGTAAAATCTATTTAGTATTTATTAACAAATAGTGAATCTAATAAAATTTTCAGTTCTTGCAAATATTATAAAATATTTGCTTATTTTAAAAAACTTAATCTAGACTATCTTATAATACAAATACATATACTAAAATAATCAGTATATAACTTAATAAATAAAATATGTCATTATTATCTATTAAGCTAGTAGAAATTATTTTAAATGTTTTTAATAATAAAAAGTATTTTGAAAATGTAAATAAGCAAATTTCTATAATTGATAAAAAACTCAGTTATAAAACTTTAAACATACTAGTGGATATCTTTGTAAATTTTGAAACTAGAATCCTATCAATAGATGATCAATTGTTGCTACATATATTATTTGATCTACTTTATAATATATGTATCAAACAGTTTATTTTTTTATTATATATTATATAATCTTCTTTTTATTATTTATATTATATTATTTAGTTTTTATTATATATATTATTTATAATTATCAAAAAGTATAGTATAGTATTAGTTAGTAATTTTATATAAATAGACCTGTAAGTTTACCTTAAGTTGATAGAATTTTTTCAGATAATATTTGAATAAATTTTGAGACTAGATTTATAACTCTATAGTCTTAATAAAATTACTATTTATACTTTTAACTTTTTTCTTATCTTTATTATAAGATTGATCATGATAATTAACTATATAAGTATATTATAATAAAATTGATTTTGTTTGTTAATCTTTAATTTCTTTTAGAAAAGACCTTTAAAATAATTATATTATTAAATTTATTAGATTTATTAATTAGATGATTTCAAGTCTAATACTAGCTATTAAATATTGTCTAAGAATTTTATCTGAATTGTATTAAGAACTTATATACTAGAAGTGTGAAAAGTATTTTTTGATAAAGGTATTTATAAAAATACATATTAAGACTATGTATTAAAGAAAAAGAATATAAGTAATTTAAAATAAGCAATTTATAATTCTAGTAGAAAATCATGATATATTGAAAGAATTAATGAAAAGAGCTTATATATATAAATTAATTTGTTGATTAAAAGATAATAAAATTACAGCTATATAGAATGATAGAAGAATTTGATTAGAATTATCTTACATTTTATATTAATAATAGAATTATTTAACTCAATATTAAATAAAATGTATCAGATTTATATAAAACAATCTATAAATTATAAGATTCATTTTGAATTTTTTAAAATTTAATAAATTAACTTTTAATTTTATTATTAAAAATTAAAATTATTATTAAGTGATTAAATTATATTATTTTCTTATTTGATTTTATGATCAGAAAAGGAGGTAGAAAATTCTAAAAAATTAAATAATGTCATTTTTCTCTTAACTTTAAAAAATAATTTTAATTAAGTAATACTGATTTTATTATTATCATCTGATTATTCAATATTAATTGTTATACTTAAAAGTTTTTCACTATACTTCAGATAATAAAAATTAAAAAATAAAAAATCTATTATTAATTTAAAATATATATTCTCATTTATACAAATTATTCAAAATATTTCTATAATTACTATACCACTTAAAATCTTACTTTAACTTTATATAAACTTTTTGATAAATTCAATAATATAAGTTCTTGAAGATATTAATAGAACTAGGAAACTATTTCAGAAGGCAGTTAAAGCTAGGTTCAATTACATAATTAATGGGATAAGTAGAGTTATATTAGAAGATCAGATGGTTAACTGAATAAAATTTTGTAATATTTCAAATTTAGTTTATATATAAACATTTATAGTCACGTGATAATACAAATAAAATTTTTCAAAATTGTCATATTTAAAATATACTTTGAAGCTAATCTTTAATAATAATAAAGGATTTTTATATTATAGACCTCTATTTTTTATTTTTAAAAAATATTTGTTAATGAATATAATATAAGAAAAGAAATTTTTATTTTTTGAAGTTGTTTCTCTTTTAATCTGCAATGGTACTTTAAATTTAAAGGATTTTTTTCTAAATGTTTAAAGTTTTTGTTGATAGTATTCTTATTCTTCTAATACTTACTTATTCTTCTTCATATTTCTTATTCTTATATATTCTTAAAAAAAAAAGTTTTTTTGTTCTTTTTTTCAAATCTGTAGTCTTCTTTACAATAGTATTCTTTTTTTGTGTTTTTTTTTTTTATCTAGTATTCTAGAAAAAGTTAAGGTTTTTTTTCTCTGAAGCTCCTTTTTATTGAGTTTTTTTTCTTTTTCTTCAGAAGTTTTTGTTTTAAAAATATTTTTTCGAAATTTCTTTTTCTCTAGGAGTTAATTTTTTAAAAAAATTTTTTCTCTGAAAGGTTTCTTTTTTCTTTTAATTTTATTTTCTTTAAAATACTACTTTTAGTATTCATTATAAGTGATCAATAACCACCCCTTTGCTTCTAATATTATAAATGTACCTATCTCTGAAGTCCTAACTTCTAATCAAAAATGGATCTATCTCTTCAATGTTAAATAACTGCTTAAAGTTTTGATGAAAGAATTTGACAAGAAATGGTAACCTCTTATATCAAATATATGGATCAGATTCAGTTATAAGAATATGTCAATAGTAATTTATGAAAAGTTTTCATTTGTAGATTTAATAAACCTAACAAGTCAAACATCTAAAAAGAAAGCATTTTATATAAAAAATATCATATAATAAAAACTTGATCAGCCAATATGTGTTTTACAAAAATAATAGTTTAACGTTATACTTCTGTATAGAGAGTAAGGTTGAATAATTTAAAAGTTCATCTGATTATTCACATTCTCTAGAAGAAAGTGAAAAGATTAAGTGTTCACAAGCTGTTTAGGATTTAGTTATACAAGAAGCTTTAAAAAACTATCAGCCATTAAAAATTGTCAATACAATTAAAGAATATGCATCCAAAGAGTTAGATTTAGAAGAAAGTGTAAAAGAACTGAGATGAAAAAAGATTTTGAATATAAAATACAAAGTACATAGATCTCTTGATATACATCTTATTGGGAATCTAAAATGAGATCTAGATATTTAAGAGATTATTTCTTTCTTAAAAGAAAAAAAATATTTGGTTGAGTATTATGAGATTTCTTATTTATTAACCTATGCTTTTATTTTTGCATATCCAAATCAGCTTGAAATTATCAAGAAACATGGCTAATTGACTCTTATTGATTCTAAACATAAAACTAACAAATATGATTGCTGATTGTTTACTTTGTATGTTCGCAATAATTATGGATGTTAGGATATCAGGGCTCATTTCTTCATAAGCAAGAAAGATAGTTACACTATAAAGGAGAGTTTGAAGATAATTAAATGATTTACATGTCAATAGGATCCAAGATATTTTCTTTCTGACTAAAGTAATATAGAATTAAATAGTATTAAAATGGCTTTTCTGGGTTTTAAAAATGGTGAACAAGAATGTGATATTATTTTTTGTATAATACACATTATGTGGAATTAGATAAGTAGAATTTATGATATAAAGCCATGACAAAAAATAATCCAAGCCATGCACAAAAGGACTAAGTTGGATGTAATAATTTTATTAAACAAGCAATCAATGAATGTCTAATTCTAATTATTAAAAAATATATCTTAAGAAATTATACAAAAAACATACATCAGTAAGCACTTTAGACATGACAGCATTCACCTCTTCTTTTACAAAGGACTTCAACAAATGTCTTAGAATCATATCATAGTAAATTAAAGAGAATCTCCTCTCCATAACATGATTTAATAAGTATTTTTTTTTATATATTATAATTTTTATGTGTCTTGCATTATAGTTTCATTTAATTAAATTTTCAATTTATTAGGTACATGTCACAAGATAGTTATGCTTGATAAAAAACGTTCTGATTCAGAATGTATCGCTTATGAATTTCATACTTAGAAGATTTCGGCTATTGGTATTGATGATGAAATTCTTGATGAAGTTCATAAGTTTCTATTTTTATTCAAAAAATGCTTATTAATGAGATTTGTGCTATTGAAAAGCGAATAGAGAAAGGCAAATCAGCTCCAGGTCTTACATCTTTATATTGTTACTGCTTGTTTTTTCATCAGTATTTGTTACCCTGCTGTCATATATTTCACAAAAATATGTATAGCGAAACAAAACTATTGAGATTTAATATATGGAAAAAATTTTAACAAACATTTGATGAGGCCGGGTTTGATGTATATATGCATCGTGAATTAGTTAAGTCAGAGTTGTCTAGGATGACAGAAGATGAGAGAGCATTAGAAAATTGATGATCAACCTTAAGTAAACTAACAGAAAGGATACGTGATACATATTAGAGGGTTGAAGAGAAGAATGATACAGAACAAACCAATACATTTGTTAGGAAATTAAAAGAAAATTTTGAACCTTTTTTAAGTAGTCAATATTAAATTTTTTTTTTATTATATATGCTAATAAAAAATAACACTTATGCGTTTATTTACTACAATATTTATTTAATACAATATTTATCTAACAATATTATCTAATGCTAATATAAATGCTTATACATAAAACTAAATTTGAAGTGTTACAAAATTTTATTCGGTTGACCATCCACGTATCGACTCTTTAAAAAAGGGTGATTACATTAAAAAATTATAGAACAACAAAAAGAAATTGATTAAACAAACTTACATTTTATCAGTAAAAGTTGCTAAAGCAAAAAGTTACTAAAAATATATATATATATATATATATATTTCTAAACTTCAATCTTCCATTAAGAATCACTCTAAAAATTAAATAAAAAAAGTTATTCTACACAAATGGTTATTTCACGAAAGGTTGGTTGAATCAGAACTTAAACGCTATAAATTAAAGAACATTTATACACACGAAACAGTAAAACCTTTTAGTACATTCAAACTCATCTTCATTATACTATATGTTGAATTATGTATTTACCTTTTTTTATATATAACGTAACTTTCAATGTAGGAGGTACTGAGCAAGTTTCTTACGCTGAAGATGCTTAGAGGAAGAAACGAATAGCGGCAATGTTGATTTGATGCAATTGGATACATATAAGTTATTGTCCAGAGCGAAGCGAAAACTATGATCACGTTCACGCGTGATATTTTGTAACATACACAGGAAGAATTTGCTTATAAAAACTCCAACGGTTTTCGTCTCCTAGTATTAACTAGATAGCAGAAATCATTAACCTTCATATTCTGTAAATAAACTACATCAAGATTAACTGTTGGCCACAAACTTTCTAAATTTGAAGTTACAAAATTATTTTCTTGTTTAAACGAATGGAAACTGAAAGAAAAGTTTACTTATCAGGAATGGTATACGTTAGAATTGTTCTGAAAGGTCGTATCATGGTATTTTGATAGTTGGCACCTCAAGAGACCAGTGCAACAAATTTAGGATATTTAGAATTTTTTTCTAAGCGTTGTATGATTTACTATATCTCATGACTTGATGTTACTGGCAAACGTTTTCAATAAATTTATTAAAATTTCATTATTTTAATTAACTCGTTAAAATAATTATTTTAAATAATTTAAATCTTTATTATCTTAAAACGTTAAAAGTAATTACGAAAAAGAAGCTGAGTTTATTGGCCGAATTCGACAGCAACTAGCAATGTTATTTTTTTTTTTTTATATAAATCTACCATTATTAGAGTTGGGATGACAGAATGCTTATATCCAAAAGGCCAAAAGCTAATAGACCATCATTTCCCCACGAGACCATCTGTGATAATGTATTACAACCTACTTTTGGAAACATACGATTAATTTTTTTTAATTATTCTGAATTTCTAATTCATTTATTCATCATAAAATCATCGGCGATTTTTGAACGTTAATGATGTCAAAATTTTTTTTGGCAAAATTGTTAAGTATAAATAGGTGCTAGAATTTTACATTGATTTTCTTTTTTAATAAATATAATTTATAGAATAAATTATAATATTAAAATATAGCATTTATGATATTATCGCTTTGCTAGTATAATGCTTCCACATTAGGAGTGATAATGAAATGATGTTTTAATGCGGATTTTTGATTAATATTATTTTAACATTGTTAGGTAAATAAAATCTTATCAATGCATCGTATTCAAATTATAATTAACTTTATTATTATTATTATCTATAGGATGGCTTTCAGAATTATTCCATGCATTTTATGTAATTTTTAAATACCGAGATGAATCAAATTCAGGCAAAGTTCGTCCAATTTTGGAGGAACGCGTCCAAGAGACAGTAAAGATTCATTCAACAACTCCACCAACACCAAGACAGTAACATCAACCACATCAATCACAATATCAACCACAATATCAATCACAATATCAACAACGTTCATATTCAAAAGACAAAAGGTTCCGTAGTTAAAGATGCTCAAACATCTGATGCTGGATACTCTAATGAGGAAGTAAGTCAAGCATATCCTCCTACTTATGGTAATCATGGAAAAAACGAAAGATTAGAGGGGAAATCCAATGGTTCTTATACTGATTATACGAGTCTTTGTGATTGAAGTTCAAATATTTGGAATATTGATGGAAAGAGTATTAGGACTCATAATTAATTAGTAAAGATATCGTTCAAAGTGGTCTTAGAAAACAAGATAATCATTCTTTTATATTGAATCCATTGGAAAACACTTCTTATGTTGTGGAAGATGGTTATTACTGACAAATTTGCGCGTCATATGGGACCTTTGCGATAGAAAAAGGAAACTACCGAGATAAATTAAAATAAGTATGCTATTAAATCTTATTTGACATAAAAAAGTAAATTTGATTTTTTCCCCCTTTCTATTGCAAAGGTCCCATATGACAAATTTATTTACGTTAATTTCTTTTCTTATCAAAATTAAAATGAATAGTACTAAATAAGGTTAAAAAAATTTATTTTTCGCTAAGCTTATTTTTATATATTTCTACTAGAAGTTTTAAATGTTCGTGTTCTTCATTTTCTTCAAATCGTTTAAACACCTTTTCTACCTCTTCTTTCTGTTTTCCTGTATTAACATAAATAAATAAATGATTATTATTATTCCAATGCCACCATCCAAATAAATCCAAATCAACGAAAATTTTCAACACATCTTCATCTTTTAAAATTTCAACACATTTATGTTCGATTTTAAAAGTGAATTCCCGAGAAGATTCTGGACTACGTGCATATGTAAATTTTTTATATTCATCATCCAGAAAATGGAGGCTATAGTTTATACCAAATTTATTAGATAATTTAGGTTTATATTCTCCAGATAATCCTAAAGGGTTGAGATTTCATTTAGACAAATTTCATGACTTCAAACATAGTAATTTCTTCATACCTGATGACCAGAACCATATTTCAACTTTCCACCCTTTATCCAGAGCACTTTGTACTAATGGTACGTAATCACTATCGCCTGCTACTATAGCCAATATTCCGGGATCCCTATCATCCAAGATTTTTTTCATTCCTTGCACAGTTAATGAAGTGTCTACTTTTTTTTCTCTCGTCTTGTGCGGTTTTTGTTCAATGAGGTTAACGACAAAACCTTGTTTTCTACGTTTATTCCAAAGCTTATCGAACTTCTTGTCATCATGGTTTTGAGAATGACGAGAGCAAAATATTTCTGTAGGGCCACCCAACTTTCGTCCTTTTACTATCATTTTTCGAAGTTTTTCGTATTCAATGTACAGATTTGGCTTGTCAACTAGATTCTCATCACGCTTCACAGTTTCTTTCCCTTGTTCGAGCAAATTCGAATGATCGACAAGAAGGAATATTTCCCCAGTAAACCCTCCTATTTAAAAGCAAAGAGATGATATTATAAATAAATACGATACGGTGAATGAAACCAAAATGTAAGTTGTTTATTTACGTTTAAATTCCTTGATCAGCTTTTCAATTTTTATAGCTGGTCCACCTAATATTCCCCACCGTTCAAGAGTCTTTGCGGTCAGCTCAAGGAATAATGAACCATCGACATTTTGTTTGTCGATGATGTTTATATCTTCATATTTAATGTCTTTCGATTCCAAAAATTTACGAAATTCTTGGAAGCTCCATTTGTTTACTTCTTTCGTAGGACGGGTACTTTTCGCAGTAACTTTATAACATATAGTTCAATATGCAAGCTTTTTAGTTCAAATCCTTAATGTCTATACTTTTTTAATAAATTTGTAATAACTTAAATAACTTACGTATATTTTTATACTTGCCTCCTAACAACATGTAAAGAGATGATATAATTAAATAAATACAACACAGAGAATGAATTCATGGAAAAAACGTCAAGTTATTTATTTACCTTGAATTTCCTTGACCAACTTTTTGATCTTTATAGCTGGTCCACCTAGTATTCCCCACCTCTCAAGTGTTGCTGCGGTCAGCCCAAGGAAGGATGAACCATCGACATTTTGTTTGTCGATGATATTAATATCTTCATATTTAATATCCCTCGATTCCAAAAATTTACGAAGTTCTTGGAAGTTCCATCCTTTTACTTCATTGATCGTAGGACGAATACTTTTAGCAGTAACTTTATAATAGTGACCTGTATATGCATAAATATTTTTAGTTCAAATTCTCGAGTCAATCTGTATTACTTTTTTTTATTTGTAATAAATTTGTATAGCTTACGTTTACATTTATTTTTAGACATGATTTCGATTTTTAAGAAAAAATAAATTGTTTTATCAACAAACGATTATTTTTTAAGGTCAAGAAATTGTTCTGAATTTATGCGTCTTTTTATAATGATTAAATATAAATATTTTTATTATGTAAAAAAATATCCTAAACAACAATGACTGTTGTATACTTTTCGGTCGAATTCCATTGGTTTCTTCGGTGTTTGTCCTACGTTAAAGCTAATTTAGCAATCGTCAATATCTTCGAGAAGATTCTCTGAAAGAAGTATCTTACTAATTCATCGACGCACATCATAATTTTCATTTCCTTTTATATGTAGTTGTCATTCATAATAATCTAAAACAAAAGCAATTTGTTGACAAACCAAATCGACTGGTTCCATATTGTTTCTGGTGGAATTTGCAACAATAATAATTGCAGAAAAACCTCTTTAAATGCTTCCCATTGTGAATTTATAAAAGAAGGTGAAGTGTATATTTAGAAAGGATGCTTTATAAAGAGTTCATTTAAATTTTACTATATTTTTTATAAAAAATGTAGAAGTATGAAGGCGTGCATCATCAAGAATGAACGTGATTTTATCACGCGAAAGTTCATAATCATAAGATTTATTCGTTTCGATTACGAGTTATTTTTGCAAAATATGACATATTTTCAAAACTGGAATAACCATCCGAACTCCAAAGAAAATATTTAATAGAATAGATTCAATGATTTTATTGTTCCGAACTCCGTTTCCAAGAAAAGGTTTATTTAAAAATTTTTTTTTGAAGAAACTCCTTATAGAATATTCGTAAAGATATAACAATTGCACAAATTTTCGTGCTTGGATGATCTCTGCTTTAAGCAGACAATCAGAGTAAAAAACAAACTCTAATTGGTGTTGTATGACAACATATGACGAATTTTAGGGATAATATTTGAACCACGCTTCAAAACACTTGCACATTTTGGTAATTTCTGATTATTAAGTAAATTGTTTTGAAACATTCTTTTGTTTACACTATTTGTAATGTGACTTCTTTTCTTGATATAATATAATAAATAAAAAATGACTATTAAATTGATTACATTATATATTATATTAATGAATTAATTCCAAATAACTTTTATAGTAATAAATAAGAATAAATGTATTTGTAACGACCTGTTACATATAACAACCTGATAGCAGCCAATAATATTAGCATTTAGTATTTATATTACAAATAAAATAGGTTATAGTTTAATATAACTTACTTAATTTTTAAAAATAAAATGTATTTATTTTTGACAATGTTATATAAAATTTTCATAATAATATTAATATAAAATATGCTAAATAAAACTAAGTAATTATATTAGATTATTGTAAATAAACAAATTTCATAAATTTAATAAAAATTTAATTAATAAATTAATAATTATATAAAGTAAAAAAATAATATCAATTAATTTAATTAATATTATTTATATAAAAATAATAAAACTATATTAAATTTATTTAATAATAAGACTACTTATATAAATAATTAGTTTATTAAAAAATTTATTAATAAATATATTTTATATATTTTATCACTTTTAAAAGGTGATATTAAAAATCATTTTATATTAATAATAAAAATAAATTATTTAAAAAGTACAATCATATTAAATAAAGATCAAAATAATTTTATTTCATATGTTTTATCTATTTTGCTATATTTATTTTTTAAAAATATTTTTTTATTTTAATTTTTGTATTTTTTATAATTTATTTAATATTTATAATTTTTTAATATTTTTTTATTATATTATTTATTTATTAAATTATAATTTTATCATAAGAAATATTTTTATTTAATTAATTTATAATTTAACAAGTAGTTAATTATAATAAAAAAATCTTATTTAAAATAATTTTGCTTAAATTATAAATTAACTTTTAGTAAATTTTAAATATAAATTAAGATTATAAATTTTAAAAGAATATAGAATTCTAAAAAATAAAAACTATTAACTAATATTTTATTAGTAAAGCTTTTATAATTTTCTAATAGAATAATATTTAATATTAAACTATTAAAAAAGAAATTAAAATAATTAAATTATCATTAAATTAAAAAAGAATTAAAATTATTTATATATAATATTATATAATTATTTAATTATTTAAAAATAATTTAAAAATTATTTAAAATTTTAAATAAAATATTAAAAATATTATTGGTTTAAAAATTATTATAAATGATATTATTAAATAATAAAATCAATCATAAATAAAAAAATTTTTTTTTGAAATTATAAAAGTAAAAAATATATAATATTTAATAAAATAAAAGAATTATATTTATAATATCAATAAGAATTAACTTTAAAAAAATTATAAAATTAGTTAAAAAATATAATACTTAGTTAAATCAATAATTTAATTTAAATGTGAATAAATAATTATTATTAATAATAAATTATTAAATTATTAATAATTTTTATTACAATTTGATTTAATAGATTTAATTAAATAAAATATATATAATTAAAAATTTTACTATTATATAAATTTTTATAAATTTAATATTTAGTAATTTTTTATTTTAGTAGTAAATATATAAACAAATATTAAAAAAATATATAAATAAATTATAAAGTAAACCTTTAATATAGATTAATTAATTAAATAATAAAATTTAATTTTTATTATATTATACTATTTTTGATTAGTTAAAATAATTAAATAAATTTAGATTATTAGAATTATTTTATAAAGAAAATTAAATTTTATATAAATTTTATAATTTATATAAAATTGATATTATTAACTAATAATTTTTAAAAAAATTATATTTTTAATATTTATAATTTATAGTTTTTAAATCTAAAAAATTAAATTATATATTATTTTATATATTTTTAAATTTTTTTAAATATTTCTAATAATTATTAATATTTTATCTATACAAATAAGGTTTATTATAAAAAATAATAATAAATAAGTTAAACAATAAATTTTATATTTAAAGTTAATTAAATTAGAATTAGATTTTAAATAAAGTTAAAAAGTGAGTTTTGTAAATATTAATTTAAGATTATAATTAAATAATTTTTTCATAAACTAATTTTATAATTAATTTTTTTTTTTAAAAAACTAGAATAAATTTTAAATTTTAAAATGAAAATTATCATTTATTGTATATGCAATTTATTATTACCTCTTCTCTTCGCTTCACATGATAATCATGTGAAATAACTTTATAATAACATTTTCACGTTATTTCTGATATTATTCCATTATTGATCAATTTGATTATTAAAATTTCTTTTTTGTTCTTGTTTTATTCGTCAAACTTTTTTTTTATTTTCGTTCATTTTAATGGCTTTTTGCCTCTATTATATCAGAATATATATTTATCAGGCTTGTTTTATTCATTTTTAACACTACTACATCATAAAGTATATTATCTATTATTTACATTAGCTGTATTACTTTTTTTGCAATAACAGTTATTAATTTATTTCTTTGTATTCACTATAAATCTAATATGAATGAAGAGAATGAGGACAACTTAAGTGATAATGGTATATATTTTTTTTGAATTTCTGAATTTTTAGAGATAGATTAGAGTTCAAATTGGTTTTGTAGTTACTTAGGGTTAGAGTTAGGAAATAAACCATTTAGCGAGTTCAGTTAATATGATTTCCTCCCTTTCCAAAGAGTAGACTCAAGGCTAATATTATCTAAAATCCTTGAACATGTGATTACAGTTAGATTTAGAGTTAGAAATATTTAGAGATTAGTTAGGTTTTGTTAGGGTTTGTTAGGATTAATTAAGTTTAGTTAGGTTTAATTAGGGTTTAGTTATGGTTAATTAGGGTTAGTTGGGTTAGTTAAGGGTTAATTAGGCGTTAATTAGGGTTAGTTCAGGTTAGGTGTTAGAATATTATTGCTCAAAAGTTACATGTCTAAAGATTTTGATGGTGATCATGGGGTGTTGCTGGTTGAAACACAAGCCACTAAAAGCTCATTTCATTATTTATTTGTTTATTTAGTTCTTTGAATGGTTTTATTTTTGTTACTATTTTGAAACCTTTATTTGTTGATTTTCTATTTAATCAAATTAATACAAAATTCTGTGATGAAAGGTTATCAGTGCTTGAACAACGAATTATTTATGGTAAATTACATGGGGTTTATAAGAAGGCTTTAAATAAGGCGTTGCAAAATAATTTCAGATCTGAATAGCTAATCTATTTACTGGAAAATTTCTTGGAGGATGAAGATGATGAACAGGAAAATTTTACCATGAAGAAGATTCGAGTAATAAGGAAAACTTAGTCCCATCAACATCATTATTGCAAAATCCAAAGAAAAGATGCGGTAAAGGACGTACCAAAAGGTTTAAATCAGCTCATGAAACTTATAAACCTAATTTAAAGAGTCATCGGATGATGTAGGAAATGCGGAGAGGTTGGACATTACCAAAAAAAATTGCAAGATATTGGTACAACCCAGAATATCAGTGTATTGTATTAAACTGTATAATGAATTGCATACATAATAAACTTGTATTAAAATGCTATACGATATTACAAATTATAGAATGAGCACAATCACGTGATGCAGGGTGTGGCGATAAATCGAAAAACAAAACCCTAAATTATTATTTGATTTAAAAAAAAAATTCTAACTATTTTCTATAATAAAATTTATTTTATTTTTCAAAAAAAAAAAATTTAATTTTCTTAGTTCATATTATATAGAACCTTTTTAATAAAGAAAAAGTTACTTTTATATGTTATAATGCTATTAACTTTTTTGAAAAAATTATGTATTAAATTTAATTTTCAAGTTTTAAATATTTTTGTGCAATGAAACAACAAATGGCATAATGAAAACATTTAAAGATTGCAACGTTTGTATTAATGAAAAGGTTATTGTTGGTAATATAATTGATTTAATAAAGAAAATGAAAGCATGTGTACATTTACAGTGTTTTGATTAACTTTTTTTAAGACATATCGCTTAATTTTAGAGTATTTTTGTACTAGTAACCCCTCAGCTATATAAATGAACCCATCAGCCGATATAAAAGAATTCGTGAATATATAGATCAGATTATATCACGGAATGGACATCAAAATCATTTCCAACTTGTGTGAGTGTCATAAATTGTTAGTAATAAGAATATATTAGTTAAAATAGAAGAAAAGACTGGTGATGGTGGTGAGATTGGAAAAGATAAAGAAACTATGGATATTCGTTGCGACTAATATTCTGTTATATAACAAACGATTCGAGGAGAAAAATTTTTAATGATTAACTATATTAAAATTAATAAAGTTATTTAACAATAAGATTTTTACGACCTTTATTAAGAATTTTTACGTAAATGTAGTTCGCGTTTTATACTTTATACTTTATCGATAAATTTGGAATGTTATAATTACCCATGTATAAATAAATTTTTAAAGTGAATATCACGTGATAAAACAGTTATGAAACAGGATAAGAATCTATACCCCCAGAACAGGATAAATTTACCCTATAATAAATGGCTGCTGAGATAATGAGAAAATATCTAAGGGTTCTTCAAAATTCACGAGCCTGATTTTCAACTGGGATTATGGCTTGAAAAAAACTTTAACAAACAATGACATGATGATGAGAACTCGAAAAGAATTATTGGGGACTTATCAACTAACAATGCATTTTTCCTTAAAAAGACATCTTTACATAACACAAATTTTTTTAATGTTAAAGAGCAAATCGTCCCTGGAAATAGGAGCTACACTAGTTATTTTATCTGTTTAATAGTAACGATATGTAAACCCATTAATTTAAGTGACAATTTCGCTATAAAGCACTATGTACAGTACATTTAAATATCAATTTTACAATTGTTTTGCTATTAAAATCATAGCAAAACGAGGGGTAATAAATAAAATGATGTCCATAAATTTCAAAGTAAAATAAAAAAAAAAAAAAAGTAAATTCGCTAATCTTACTAATTTATCTAAGGATTAAATTGCATTCCTCCAATCATTTACTACTTTTTCCTGTTTTTTTGTATTAACATAAATCGTTACATGATCATCATCGATCCAACGCCAATATCCAAATAAATCCAAATCAGAGAATAATTGCAACAGGTCTTCATCATCCAAAAATTTCACATGTTCATGTTTGATTTCAACAGGAAAGTTACGAGGACCTTCTAGTTCACGTGCATATAAAATTTTTTTATACTCCTTTTTCAAAAATTGGCAATTATCGTTACTTCTTCTAAATTTATTAGATTGATATTCAAAATTTAATCCTAAAGGGTTTGAGATTTCATTTAGAAAAATTCATTGACATCAAACACAGAACTTCAAATACAGAAATATTTTATACCAAATGACAAGAACCATATTTCAACTTTCCACCCTTTCTTCATAGCACTTCGAATTAATGGTTTGAAACCACTATCGCCTGTTACTATAACCAATATTCCAGGATTCCTCTCTTCCAAGATTTGCTCTCCACGGGTAGCTAATTGCATATCTACTCTTTTTTCTCTTGTCATGATTGGTTTTTTTTTAATGGGGTGAACAACAAAACCTTGACTTTTAATTTTATCCCAAAACCTAACAAGTTTTTTTCTCATGGAAGAATATGAGCAAATTATTTCTAAAGGGCCACCCAACTCTCGTCCATTTAATATGAATGATTGAAGATTTTTGTAACTAACGAGCATCTTAACTCTGTCAACATCTCTCTCATAAAACCTCACGGTTTTTTCACCTTGCTTAAGCAAACTGAAATTATCAACAAGAACGGATACCTTCCCGGTAAATGGTTTTATGCCTCCTGCATGGCGGAGACAGAGATGATATATTAAATAAATACGACAAGGGGAATGAAACCATGGCAACCAAAACATCACCTTGAATTTCATTAACCAACTTTAATATTTTTATATCTGGTCCGCCTGGTATTTTCCATTTTTGAAGAGTTTCCGTGGTCAGTTCAAGGAAGGTTGAACCATCGACCTTTTGTTTGTCGATGATAATCTTAATTTCTTTATCCTCAATACCTTTCGATATCAAAAAGTTACAAAGTTCTTGACGATTCCAACTTTCTACTTCTTTTTTCGTAGGAAGAGTACTTTGTTTAGCAACTGTATAACATTTAAGTGTAAATGCAGAAGTTTCTTTAGTTCAAATTCTTATAAATAATTTTTTTTTTTTTTTTGTAACAAATTACCTTTATTTCCAGACATGGCTTGTTTTTTGACTTTAAAAAAAAAAAAGAGGGTTTTTATAGTTTGTAGAATATGCATGTCGATCTTGTGACTAATGTAACAGGAATTACACCGTTTCCAAGATATCAAGTTTTAGTTAAACCATCTGTTAAAATCCTTTCATCAAAAAAAAAAAAAATCCGTTTTAAATCATAAACCAACTTTATGTAAAAAATAATTAATTATAATTTTCACTAATTAATAATCCCAATACTATCTTTATTTAATGATTCTAATAAAATTAAATGAATTTAAAAAATATTTTAAAGCGTACATGAAAAGGCAAAAGTAAATAAAGTATGTGATTCACCAAAGAATAATTGTTTGATTGAAACTCCTAATTTTTCTAAATCGACTTATCCTGACACTCCTGACAGGTTACACAAAGGCAAAATATCATCCGATGATATTAGAAGCAAAATGACGATCCAAAATTGGTAATGTCATTATCGTTATGTTTTGTCGTGTGAATTAATAAACATCTAAATCATACTTTAAAATAAAAATACTTTTTTGGAAATGATCGATAAAATGATCGGCAGGCAAATCGAAACAAGCCTAGCTTGAACTGGTGTATTTTGCTCTCGTAAAATTCGCCACAGTATAACCTGTCACGGAAAACGAAAACCGGCTACAAATTAGTTATCCTGTATATACAAATAAACTTTGATGTAAACATACAACAAGCTATAAGAGTATATGGTTAAATATTTATTGATTACAGTTTAAGGAACCTAAGTTCGGCATGACGAAATAATCGCAAAAACTCAACGTC